CGGAGACTACAAGGTAGCTGTTAGCATCCGCATCCCCCGTGCCTCCCTTATCTTACTATTTTAATGTTCTTGAACTTCTGTATCGGATTTCGTATCTAGTAGACTTGTATCCGGATTTATTAGTTGCTCGTGACTTGTGACACCCCGTTTTGGGTGTGTCGGGATGGTTTCTACTGTTGTTATCGTTATTTCCGCAGATTATGGTTATTATATCATGTTTTAGAACTATTTATGGTATTTAACTGTTTAAAAGAGGTGATCTGTTTTGGTCTGGCTGGCCTTGTCTTCACGATAGGCGCCATCACGATCGGGTGCAAGGATTGGGTCGTGAGATAGACCATGACATAGTACCAACTAGTCCGGTATTGTTATGCAATGAGCTCTTTTTGGCAGTCTAACGTAACCGAAGTGATATAGGATATGTATGACGAATCTTTGCATGCCCTTCGACTGGTCTATGTGTTGGGATTTTGAACTAATTAAAGTAACAACACAACCATTCGTGATATTGATCACTTTGAGATTTGGACATAGGTGTACACGACTTTAAAATGTGTCACTAAGGTCTAAAATTTGATTTCTTATAAATAAATATCTCTCAAGGTGTTACATACACTCAGGGCGGCTCAACATTATTGGTGGGCTAAAGCAAAATTCTGATGTGAGTTCTTAATTTTTTTAAATTTTTTTTATTTGAAGTTTATTTTTCCAACTTTTTTAGATGCAAAATTATTAATAATTTTCTTATTATTGAGTTATTCTAATAATTCTTTTTTAACTGATAGTATTGTTAATTCGAACCATTTAGCTTGTCGTGAGGCATTGTTGATCTGATACAAGATTTTATCAATTTTAATTTAAAAAAACTTCTTTCCTAGGATGCAACTGTTATAGTGATAGTGTTCTATAAGGAATATAGACATTTGGAAAAAAAAAAGTCTTTTTATCTTATCAAGTATATCGATTAGAGTTTTATCTTCTATTTGTAATATTTTCTTTAACGCTATATAATTTGAAAAATAAGTCTAAGCTATCATGTCAGAGTGACTATTTTGTTTTAATATAGACTAAGTCAATATTTTTTCAGATTTTATTATCTAGTGATCTCAATTTTTATTCACTAAATAAATAAGTAACGATATTTTTATACGCTTCGGGTTATTCAAATCTCAACCGTCAACATCAATAACAAATTTAATTTTTTTTTATATTAAAAATTATACCTTTTAACCTTAAGATAAACAATATTAATTCATAAAATTACAACCAACGGAAAATGAGGGCACTACTAGAAATCCAGGCAAAATCGTCCAAAAAAACAGACCAGAATTGGTCGGTAATGGCCAATAACCGTCCAAAACGTGATCATTTACGTGTGGACGGTATTTTGAAGGTCAGAAGGACATATCGATCAATTACCGACCAACTTTGGTCGGTCAATTAATTTAAAAATGCACCATCTGGGAATCGAACCAGAGTCTGTACTGTGGCAGGATACTACTCTACCACTAGATAATTGGTGCATTTTATTTTTAGACTGTCTTTTAATTGATTTATACTCTTTAATTGTATTTTTACACGAAAATAACCGACCAAAGTTGGTCGATTTATTAAAAAACCGACCAAAGTTGGTCAATTATTTAAATTGACCAGCCGAATTAACCGACCAATTTTGGTCGGCTTTTAAATATTAATTTTAATTTATTTTAAATGAAAAACCGACCAAAGTTGGTCGATTTCTTGAAAAATAAATTTTGCGGGACTCAAAAATGCTTCCCGCATTTTTGCGCCAACGAAAACAGATCAAAGTTTGTCGGTTTCGTAAAAAATTTAAAAATAAAATATTTTAAAAAATCGACCAACTTTTGTCGATTTTTTGGCCAATTTTTTGACCGACCAATTGGTCGGTTTTTGCTGAATTTTTAGTAGCGGCCCCTAAATTTTGGGGGCCTAAAGCCACTACTTGGGCTGCCTTATCCTTCAGCCGGCGTGGCACTCTCTTTAGGAATTCGAGTTAGGACTTTTACCTACTTATACTATATTAGAAACCTATTTACCTATGACTCTATGTTTTGTAGTTTTTAATAAGTATCTAGGTTTTTCTTACAAATTATGTTAATTGCTCCTTAAAAGTCTCCCACCCCATTATTAGTGCCTTCAATTAAGGGATTCAATTATATCTTTTTTTCCCTCTCCTCTCCTCTCTCCTTTTTTTTTTACAACAAAATTCCTTAATCTAAGCCCACTCCATCTTCTCTCTTCCCACCATTGCCAATAATTTTATATTATTAAATCATCAATTGCATCGTTCTTTTGTTGGGAGATCGGAAAACACTAAAAATGAAGAAATATTCAGGAATTGTATGATAAATATATCATAAATTGTATTTAAATTTTATCAGATACATCAATATGTAAAACACATAATTGTATCATACTTGTATCACAATTGTATATAACTTGTAGATGGTACATTAATATCCAAAATAATACCTGACATAATACTAATAAATTAATATATAATTATCATATATTTGTGATACAAACTGTGAAATTCGTCACGATCTCACAACTGCTCATAATTCAGATACAAATTTGATACAATCCTGAAAGAATTCTTACAATCTGATACAATTATAATACAACTTAAAACCAACTCTAAACTTAAACTGATACAATATCGTATTATACTTGCATTAGTATTGTATCATGTATTGTTTTAGGTACAAATTGTGATACAATGATACAACTTTGATCTTCATCTTTTTCAAGTTTTAATTTAAAACATCCACCTAGAACCAACTCTAAACTTAAATTATAATACAATATTGTATATTAATAGTATTAATATTGTATCAGAATTGTCTTAGGTATTCATTTATCAAATATAAATCAGATACAATTATGATACATTGATCATACAATCGCAATATAACTCCGAAACTTCATCTTCCTCGAGTTTTATTAAGAAATTCAACCTAGAACTAACTTTAAACTTAACCAATCTCTCTTAAAATTGAGATATAAACTCTAAAGGATATTTTCAATCGTATTCAAGAATATCCAATACAAAAAATCACAAACTCGTAAAACTCGAATATCTAATTCAAAGTTTCGAAGCTTTTTAATACTATGTTAATGGCAGACCCCTCTACCTGCAATTTCAGAGATAATGTCGATGAATTCGTCAATAGTTGAAGCTATTTAATTGTTGTTGGTGGAATTGATTCAGAGNAGAGAGAGAGAGAGAGAGAGAGAGAGAGAGAGAGAGAGAGAGAGAGAGAGAGTGATGGGCTTTCAATGTCTTTGCCTTATGTTTTGATGATCTAACAAACTTACTGTCAAGAGCCAGATAGGGAACCTGACACACTTGGTACACTTTTCAAATGAACGAAGTCCAGCCTGAACTCCAGCCAATGTGAACTGCTGCAAATAAAGAGAAAAGAGGAACAAGACAGAGACCTGTTCCCTGGATGTTCTCTGACAGAAGTATAAGTCAACTATACATCTGGAAAACAACTACAGAAAGTACCTGCCTGCAACTGTACATGCAACAGTGCAACAGACAGTGTAGCTGTCACTTGCCATTGGGAAGACGCGTGTACCAACCATGAACTGACATCATCCTTAGGATGTCTTTGGTAGTATGACAACATGGTACAAGGCACAAGCTATTTACTTGAGCATAATGATATTCTCTCAAGCATTAAAGAGTTGATCCAGCATTGAAGTCACAAGTGTGTCAAGAACAAGAAGACAACTCCACTAAGGATCAGTTCCACAATGAGTCTATGTGCAACCGTAGTTGAGTTGTAATCTTGTTATTTATTCTTTGTAACTCCTATCTTGCTTTCATAGAAGCTTTGTTTTAGGAATCCCAATATCATAAACCTTCTGAGTTTATGTTGTGACTAGAGTTAGTCATAAGTTAAAGTCTTTGTAACTAGTGTGTGACAAAGTGGCTTGTGGTAAGTGTATCACAAGTTAGTTAAATTGAAGTCTTTGTAATAGAGTCATTACAAAGTGGCTTGTAATAGTGTGATTGCAAGTTAGTGAAGTTAAAAGCCTACGAGTGTAGGTCGTGGTTTTTGTCCCCTTGAGTGGGATTTTTTCACGTAAAAATCCCGTGTTTCATTTACTTACTGCTTCATTAGTATTTTCAGTGGAAACTCATATAGGACCAGGTACTCTATAGTGTGGTGGATCCATATAAACTAACAGAGAGAGAGAGATTGGTTGATTTGTGTGAAAGACAGAATGACTTCAAATTTTTTTGAAATTGGGAGGAAAATCGTGATTGTAGGAGGCTAATTAAGCCGATAGATGGGGATGGAAGATACAGTTACAAATTAATTCCTATATTTTAGGGATCTTTCTTTTATCATATTTTGTACATTAATAGTAAATATAGATGCACAATGTAATTTTTAAGGAAAAATGGTTAATCAGTTTCTAATATAGTATAGTTAGGTAAAAATCCCATTCAAATTTGTTATTGAGGTTTGCCCCACAATCATCTTTGAGACATGGGATTTGTCTAAACCCAGTTGATATTGTCCATCTTAGGCTTAGATCTGCATGCTTTTAAGACATGTCACTAGGTTTTAAGATTTGCTTCATTAATTATATATTTAATATATCTCATATGTTTTGCCGATGTTAATAACAAATTTCAAGACACCCGTAAAAATAAAATGTATAACTAGTAATCCGACCTTAGTTCAAGGAAAACTTATGCCTTCTCCCTTTTTCATAAGCATTTGGAATTCAAACCTCATGTCCAAATAACCTCAAGTAAGCCCAATAAGTGTAAGAGAACTACCTGCCAAGAGATCAAATCAAGTTCTTTGACGTAGAATTCAATGCTGGCTGATGTACACTCTTTAGTCAATGCATTTGAGTTTCAAGACTTTCTACATCGCTCTTCTCAATGTTATCGATATTTAAACTACTACTTCACGGCGTTGCAATTTGCCTATAATTTGCACAGAACTCATGACTTCATTGTAATTGCTGAAGAATCATTAAAATCCTAGAGTTTACAATTTGCAAGTAATAATAGAACTTAACATGTGAAAGAATAAAAGAGAGGATTAGCAATATGATTAGACTTTGAAGAAGTAAGAAAGATTAAAAACAGTGGGATTAAGTAGTTTAAGATCCTTGAGCAGCTGGCGCTGTCCAATATGATTTCACTGCAAACAGAAGCTTCTCCCTTTCGAGTGGCCCATCTTCATGATCAATAATTTGACTATCCCAGTTCAGCCCATCCGCTATTCTCTTCACTTTGATCAATATATCTACGTCGTCTCGGATTATTACACTTCCTTCTGGCCTTAATATTCTATCCAATTCTAGCATAATATCTTCCATTTCACATCTGCTACACAGTCACCAGTATATATAATCAGAAAGTAAGTCTCAAAGAAGGTAAGCTTTTGGATTGCACTACTTAATTCAAGAATCTAGTAACAGAATTTACCTGTTTTCGTACAGAGTAAATACTGAATCAGCATGAATGAGATCATATGTTCGTGGGTATGTTGACATAGCCTCACACCTATAATAAAGTTTGCAGTTAATCAAAACAGTAAAGCATTACTGTCAGTGGCAGATCCAGAATTTAAATGTTACGGATTCTGAATTGAGAATGTGTACTGAAATGTACATCTAACTTTGTCTATACTAGTTTTTTGCAATATATATCTAGGATACGACCCCCAAATCATTGGGTTCTGCCAAACCAGCGAACTTATTGTTGGATCCACCACTATTTACTGCTATGGGAAGGGGGAAGGGTGGGGGGAAGAAAGTGAAGGAGGCATAGTAATTACCAGCTCTGGTATGTTCCAATTAATCCTCTTTCATAAATGACACCAAGTGTATTGACCTTAGCTTCAGCAGGAACTATATTCATCACCCAAACAGGATCATCGACCAAGTTGGCAGCAAAGCCACCAAGAAATGCATTCATATCTAAGATATTTCTGTATCGCCCTGGTTGGCCGAGCTGGTTATTCACTGACTTGTAATACGAAACTCTTCTTTTCCATAGCTGTGAATCCTTCTGGAAATCTTCTTCCGTGACCCCATTCACCGTTCCCCTGCTTATCCTCGGTGGGGTTGCGTGTAATCGTTGAGGCCATTTTTCCAATTGTCCACCAGCCACATCTTGTTCATTTGAAACTTCTGGCAAGGGAGTTAAACAAGTTTCAATTTTTGTATACCTGAAAACATCAGATCGGCACGAATTTGTCAATGCTACGATTATAGGATAATACAATTGTGACAATAATAAGTCAGAAGGCAGACAAACCAGGCTTTATCAGGATCTTGAGCAGGGCACATTGGTGGATTTTTTACTCTCCTTCGGAATTCTGTACACTTGTGATGATTGTATGGCTTCTGCCATATAGCAATATCATCCTTTTCGACAAACTTTTTCCAGCAGAGTCGTTTAGCTACCTGCTCAATTTTATTTTGTTCAGCATTTAGGTCTTCCCTTGTTCTTGCCCATCCTTTCCAGTATTTTCTCCAGCGAATCGGAGGGCCAGAGAGTATCCAAAATCCACCAGGTCTTAGGACTCTATCGACTTCAATCAAATATGTACCATCATACTCGCCCCACGGAATGAGACAACGAGAGCAATGCGCCATGTCAAAAGCTCTAGATGGATAGGGAAGTCTCTTGGAGGCAATAATTCCGATCAGAGCGGGTACTCCTCGCTCAAGTGCAAATTGAACCTGTGCTTCATGTGAATCCCTGGGTGCAAATGATATGGCTATAATATTTCGGGACAATAGGTAAGCTCCCCAACTCGCTACCTACATATACATTGAATGATTGAGCAGGCTTAGGCTTTTCATGAAAATGTTCAAGTAAAATAGCCATCAAATGTGGAGTCCTCACTGAGGTACTTCTATCATTAGATGGGGGAGAATGAGAACTTGTATATCTAACCCCAAGGACTTCTTTAATTAATTAAAATTTTAAGAGACTTGACTTTGTTTAGCTTCAATTTAGTGCCTTGCTAATACTCCATTCGTACCAATTTATGTGAACCTGTTTGACGAGGCACGAAGTTTAAGAAAAAATGAAAACTTTTAGAATTTGTGGTCCTAAACAAGTCAAAAAGGGGCCCAGAATATTTGTGTGGTTATAAAAGCTTCTCATTAAGGTTAGAATTGTAAGTTTAAGCTAAATTGTTACCAAATTTAGAATGGGGTCATTCTTTTTAGAACGGACCAAAAAGGAAATAGGTTCACATAAACTGGAACAGAGTGAGTACGAGTTATCGATTACTTTGTATTGTCCATTGAAGCCCCAATTGAGAACATATATATGATCGATCTTGTTCAACATCCTTATAACTGGTTAATTCAATAAATTAACTTTCTATGATAAAAAAAAAGTTTTTTTTCAGAAAACGGAAAGATTCTTTACGTAATAGAGTAGTAACAAAAGATCTGTTGTTAGCAGAAAGATTCACAGCGGAAAACGAGACGTCGTGCATGGAGTTGCCAGGTGTAGAATAAAGGAGTTCAGTTCGGGAAAAAAAGCTGTTTTGCTTCCTCCTGGACATAATAATGCTTTTGTCCTGATTCTGAGTACCTCACATACTAGCCTATTTCTGATCCAATTTAATATTATTCCTTCAGACAATCCGACTTCCTATAGTCCCTAGATCACTCTTTCGCATTAATAGATTTCATTCATCATCACAGATTAATCTGATTTGTACTCCCACCCAGTTATCACTAAAATCGAATTATGACACATGGAAAGAAAAATCAAGATAAATAACACCTGTGTTTTTGCTGATTTATAAATACCTTCATTCCAATTTGATTCAACACCGAATTTATGAAAAGACAAAATGACATTCAAGACGTTATCTTAAAGGTGCTGTCACTAATGACCTTAAACATACTTTATTATTTATGTGACTATAACATTCTTTTGAAACATAAAAGTGTCTCATTTTTATTGTAAACAAACTAATCCTAAAAAAAATAGTATCACGTAAAATGCAATGGAGGAATCACTTATCATAATTAATTGACATCTAAATTCTGACTAACTTTTTTCTACGGGGGAATGGGGGGTTAATTTTTTAATTATAGAAAAGATCAACAAGTGAAATACCATAAAAGGAAATATTTTGCTCAAGCGTTCAATGCCCACTCCGAAAATATGGAAACAAGAAAATCGATATATACCAGGAAAAAAAATCTGTAATTAGCATCAGCAATTAAGAAGAGTAAAAATTGATCAAACGAACAGAGAGAAAGAAAATTACCCCACAGCCAGTATCAATGGCGGTTCTAATGGAACCATCATTAAGATTAATCAACTTGCCAATATCATCAATATACGCATCCGCACCATTAGGGAACATAGTCCCACCACCAGGAAATCTAAACCTGTCTCCTTCATATCTAATCCAGTTTTGAACAGCTTTTTCTACTGTCAATTCTTTGTGTGGTACATTAGCATACCATGCAAGATCTCTACTAATTGGCCATTTAAATGGATTCTTGTAACCATACGGTGCAGGTATACGGCATTTTAAAAGTTCATTCTTTTCTGGGCAATGTCTTTCTCTGTATATCAATCTGTTTCTGTTGAATTTCAATGATCTTTCAGGGTCTTCACATGGGGTGTACTCACTGTACTTTATGTCACAAGGGGGGTAAATTTTGATTGAATCATCAGGTGTAACAGCTCCGCCGTCGTCGGTGGAGTGGTGGGTGGTGAAGTCTAGTTTTTGGGTGGATTTTGAAGAAGTAGGGTAATTGGTGGAGGTATTTTTAGAAGGGAAACAGGGGATGGTAGTGTGGACAATATTGGAAGTGGTGATGACACTGTTACTGCCTCTATTTTGCCATAAACCAGTGAAGTAAAAGGCAGAGCAGAGAAAAGTGACGGCAACTAAAGAGTAAAGATTGGGTCTTTTCAACAGGAAAGGAGAATGGTAGGTAGCTGCTGTTTGTTTGGATGTTGGAGTATAATAAGGGGTTGGGTTAGAACCCGCCATGAATGAGGAGAGTTTTGTGCAAATGCTATGGCTCTCCCCTACTCTGTTTGTAGGGTATGTTTTGGTTGGGGAGGTGTTTATAGAAGAAAGTTGGGGGGGGGGGGGGGGG